AGGAAGATTTCTCCATATAACTGCAAGCAGTAACGGACAACACCCCACATAGTGACATCAAAATCCGTATGAGAGACATGAATGACAGCTGAATGGGAGCAGAAAATACAGGGAGAGAACTCATCATGGGTCAAGAGGCTCTAGGCTAAGTGAATGGCAATGGAGAACTCTACTTAGACTAATGCTCCTTCAGTGATTTGGTGATCGGAGGCAAAGTGCACAAGCACAAGGAAATACACAAGGCCACATGGATTTCACCTGACGGATATATCAAAAACCAGATAGACTTAATCTCAATGATGCTCAATAATGTGAGGAAGCGGCTTGCTGGGTTCAAAGTTGAGGAGGGGAACATATTTGGACTCAGACCATTATCTGGTCCGAGCAGTTTCCAAGGTGAGACTGAAATCCTTCAAAATAACTGGAGACAGGCCACAATTCACGTCCAACACTCACAAACTGGAAGATGAATTAACAAAAGACACCTTCACAGCAGACATAAGAGAAAAGTTGGAGAAACCACGTAACATCACTGAGGAACCCTGCGTGCAAGAATAATGGGACTGTCTGGAATTGGTGTCCACGGAAATCTGTACAACCGTTTTAGGAAAAGAGAAGAGAGAAGACAAAGAATGGCTCTTAACAAACACCTGAAAGCTAATAAATGAGAGAAGATGAACCAATGAAAAGATGGACAACAGAAGGAGAAGCTGAGTTCAGTTTAAGTCACACTGCATAATGAAGTGAAGAGTGAAAGAAGGGACAAATAACAATTCCACGACACACTGGCCGGCTACTTGAGCAGAATTGACCATAGGCTGTCTATAGAAGAGACATGAGAACATCACACAAGTAATCAGGTCCCTCTCAGTGAAGAGATCAACACAGATGAAACTTATACACGATGGTCAAGGAAACCTTATTACCAAAGATGAGAGACTAACGAAACAATGAGGTGACCACTTCAAAGGACTCTTTAATCGACCATCACCTGCATCTCATCCAGAAATACCACCAACAGCACTCACAGAGCTGCCAGTTACTGGACACCAATCCCCCAACAAAAGTGACAGTCTTGAATGCAGTTAAGCTACTGAAGGCCATCCGGAAAGGCAGGAGGATAAAATGGAATTCCCCCAAAGCAGTGAACACGGACTCAGAGACTGACTGCAGCGGATATGCTGACGCCGATATTGCATGAACTGGCAAGCCAAGTAAAATTTTAGGTCGCATCACCCGCGGGAGAATAAGAGATTCACTGGACTAAGAGATCTGCCACCTATCGGAACAAGCTGGATTCAGGAAGGGTTAGTCATTCACGGATCAAAGTGCAACTCTACGCACCATCACCACAGAACAAAGCATAGAATGACAGTCAGACTCCTAACTCAATCTCATCGACTTCGAAAGGCCTTCGACAGCGTCGACTGTGAAGTGAATGGGAAACAACCTTAACACTATGGAGTGCACCTCCCCAGTCTTTATCAAACACATCCAGCAGATATAATGACAACGCTACGTGTCAGGTGATCCACAACAGAAAACCGAGCGTAGCGTTTGAAGTGAATGCAGCAGCAAGACAGAGCTGTCTATTATCACCGATGATACTATTATTGTGGTGGACTGCATTATGCGTCAGACGGTACATAAGGAGTGAGAAGACAGAAATACGCCGGATCACCAATAGGAAAACTCTAGAAGATCAAGATTTCACGCCTAAATGACTTATTTTTCATGACACACAATATCGAAGATTCGCAGATGGGTGAAAACCAACAAACTGGCTGAAGAGGCAGGCAGCCACGACACAACTCCAGGTGAACACACAGAAAATGGAGGTGATGAAGATAACCAACCAACCACCCAACCAACAGCAACAACAACCAGCATCAACTACCATCAACAGTGGAAATTCGAAAGAGGTAAATTCCCTCACTCATCTATGAAGCATCGTTTCAACCACAGGCGGAACGTGTGAAAATGCCAAAGCAGGCCAGAATCGGAAAGATAAGGTATGACTCCATCACTCCGAAATCAGTTTTTCTAGGTCTTCTGCTGTCACTCAGCCTGCATAAAGAACAAGATTCGGATTTTCAGCACCAATAATAAGTTACTGAGTTCTTCTATCTGTGGGCGGAACCTATCACACGCATCACGAATAGCATTTTCAACAGGAGACCGCAGACACTTATCAACAGCCACTTTCACTGGCTGCATACTGAAGATCAAATGGCAAGCAAGAAGAAATTAGTAAGGAGAAACTTTGGCTGGGAACGAACCAACCAAGAGCTGATCGAGCAACAAATATTCAGAAGAGAATGGAGACGGATTGTGTATGCGCTGAGGAGACCGTTGAATGACATCGGACGCCAGGTAATCGCTCGAGTGGAATCCTAATGGGAAAAACCGAGTGGGTTATCAGTGCGAGGGTGACATGAAGGAGGTTGTGGGAAGAAGAGATGAGAGATTATGGGCAATCGTGAGTCCAAATGAAGAGGGCAGCATAAAATAGGACGAAGTGGAGATGTGTTGCTGAAGTCCTATATTCCACTCGGAACCCAAGGAAATGGTAATAATAATACAAAAATTTACTCCGCAATGACCAATGAGAATAAAATTGTATGAAACAATCAATGCAGTTATTTAAACGAAATCCGAAATTTATGTTAGCTTCTTTATGTAATTACAAGCAATAAATTTTGCTCAAAATGTTCTCGATAGGTTAAAGTGTACCACTCTGTGTTGTATTAAATAGAATTATTCCATGATGCAATTTGTTAGCACTAACTACTACAGATCTATAGACTATAGTGTTATATGATCTAGCATTTCTTATTTGTAGTGACTTCTCATTACCAGTTTTTAAAAGTAACAGTTTGTTAAAACGGGAGACTGTCACACGTGAGAATGAAGAGTTACAAAGGTGTACTTCTGTAACGACAGAAGGCAAGAGTCAGGCAACAGATCATTTATTAAGGAAATCAACGCATATTTATATATTTTCATGTACATTACTATGGATATTTAAGCAAACAAACACAGTCTTCCGATTGGTTGTTTCTCACGTAAAGTTAACCTTTCATCTATTTGTGACTGTTTCTTGAATGTCAAATCCTCTATATGTTAACTGTATCCGCCTACGCAAAGTGTGCTGTGGTCGGTTTTGAATCAATCTTTGTTCACATTTTCTCAAGACAAATCTTGGGAACGTAAATATTGACGTAAATTACTGTCTACCAATTTGGCTAGTAGACAGCTCTCACCACACTTAAACTAGCCTCTAAATAGATAAACAATAAATGGCACATAAATGACTCCCTGAGTAGGAAAAATTTGCTCATGATTTCAGCAAAAATGATAAGTTTATTTATTTTCTGGTTGCTAATCTAATCGGTAAAATAAATGTCTTGATTTTTCTAAGCCTAGTAATTCATGAAAACTTAATACAATCCTGAATGAATAATGTTTGAAGTATAACTGATATTTGTATCTCCAAACTTTTCACTGCTTATTCAATCAGAAAGTGAGATTAAACAGGCTTCAGAGATGCACCAGTTTGATTTCTTCACATTTCGAATAGTACTTTAATCTATAGAAGTGAGCGTGACGTTAAACAGAAATAACAATTAAAAAACTAATGCTAATATTGAGCAATGTGAAATCAGTAAAGAATGAATTCATCTGTACCATCCTGAAAGATTTTTAGAACAAATTAGTAGTTGATTGTTAATTTGTTTACTACAGGATCTAGGCAATTTATTTCTGTCTGCATAACTCATACGTGATTGCTCTCAACCCTATTCCCAACTTAGCTTCATCTCAACTAACCTTGTTAAATTGAAAAGTTGACGATTCAACGTAGGTAATAAAGGATTAGCCAGCTACATTAAGTGGAATTCCAGTCAGTCTAATAAACTGACGACTAACCTTATAACTAAGAAATTTGTAATTCCAGTGTGGTGAGAGCTGGCTGCTAGCCAAAGTTGGTAGACAGTAATTGACGTCTATGTTTATGTCCCCAATATTGGTGGTGAGAAAATGAGAACAAAGGCTTTGTGTAGGCGGATACAGTAAGCATATGGATGATCTGACACAGCCACAAAGAGATGCAAGGTTAACTTTCTGTGAGAAACAACCAATCAAAAGACTGTATTTTCTACTAACAATAATCTACAATAATGTACATTACAATCTATAAATGTGTTGATTTTCCTTAATAAACGATCTGTTGGCTGGCCCTTGTCTTCTGTTGTTACATTAGCAGCCATGAACAAAGATACGAAAATAACGATTTTCAAAATCTCTTAATGTTTTCATTCAATTGCAAAGCAGAATGGGTTGCATCCTTACATAATAAATTTTTATTTTTATAGGTAGAGAGATATTTCATAGAATGTAAAGACAATACACACTTATTTGATAACTGAATATTCTATCACTAAGTCAAAAATTGGTTCACACCATATCTGCTGAACCTATTTACATTAGCTACAATACTAATATATCGGTTAAACAAAATCTAACTTTTCTATTTTGAAAATTTTTAAATTAATACTGATTAAAATGAACTTTGTTTATTAATATTTAATATGTATTAAGTTGATTAACCACATCTATTATGATGAAATTAAGAGGGAGTTCAACAACAAAATGCATTGGTAAGTTAGTTTTATCATTATTTAACTGTTTATCACACTACACAACATATTCGTATTTACCACTAGTACAGCTTACACTCCAGCATCTAGGCATAGACATATTTTCAGTAGACTTTACAAGTATATAGTGTATACTTCACGTATAATATAAACATATTGGTTTACAAGTAGACATATCTGTATATGATTGTTATGAATTCTCCTTTTTCTGACATTTTTTACAGAAAGGACATTCACTGATAAATAAGTTATGCATAAAGATATGGTATTTACACATTTCTATACTTTAATCTATGAATACTGTTTACATTAATTTTTCTTCCAAATATAATTTACTGTTTATCACTTAGAAGTTGATAATTTGGTATTTTCATGTTCACAAGATGAGGATTGATGACAATCATACTTTTTATCAGTAGACATTTCTTTTGAATCTTGACGATCGCCCACTGATGAAGCATTACTAGAGCATGGTGTGCTTGCTGAATTTATGCTTGTTGTAGTCATTCCCCCAGTTGTATTCGTAGAATTTGTTGACTGTGAATGACACCAGTATCGACCTGAGGAGTTGGACGCCATATTTTGATTGATGGACTGTGAATAAGCACAGTACTGACGCATTTCTGTACCCTGATTTTCCGTTGACGTAGTAGTTAGTCTAAGCAGACATGGATGACTTTTGTTGAAATTGCATCGACCCGATACAGCTCCACTACTTACAGTCATATGTTGACTCCTGAAGAAAAGAAAGGTCACTGCAGTTGGATTGTGAATGACGATAAACAAAATTACCTACCCAACATGAACGAAAAAATCCGTGAAAGAGATATAAATGTCTGCCTTTGGAGTTGCCATAATTTCTAGATTTTTAGTTGACAAACTAAAACTTCCTGATAATGGTGAAACGATGAGTGAATTAGATCTGTCTTCATAAAACCAGCTTAAAACAACATCTCCGTTAACTTTTTGTTCAATCTTTGCATCTCCTAAAAAGACTAAATTTAAAATATTGATAAAGCTTTAAATTCAACTTACTTATCATACCACAGCCATCTTTATGAACTGCAGAAGAATTCACTAATTCACGCAATTTAGCATCATCATGAGATTTCTCAATACCCGGTTTCTTTAAAATTTCTGGTGTTCTATCTCTATCAAATGTGTCCATAGATACAGGTCTACATGCTGTCCAGTGGTGTGAAGTAAGTCTATAAAATTCCATTTCCTTTTTTACAAAACTTGGTTTCTCATTTCTTAAGAGTATTTGGCGGTCTTTATCAAAAGTAATAGACAACTTTCCATGATGCATATTGATCAGACCACGACAGTTATAATGGTAGGCATATCCATATTCTCCGCTTTCGTTTAACGCTAATGCGGAATTATTTCTGTAATTAATAAGACGATATGCAGATATAGATCTTTCAAAAGAGACGTAATTTGATAGACGAATGTGTAAAACACAGTCTTTTGATATATACACTTGAGGTGCTGATGGTGTTGTGCAAGTGTTCAAATCACATTCTAAGGATAAGGGTCCAAAAGTACAACGCCACGAATTGTTGCATAAAGAGTTTGGGAAGGATAAATTATCTGAATTAATTTTGCTTCCAGTTGGATGTGGACATTTTCCATATGGGTGACAATTTAATGACATAAAGTCTGTATATAATGGCATCTGACAAATCCATGGGTACATAAGTGGCATATTTAAATTTTGAGGATACAGATTGGCAGATTTAGGTGTTGGAGGTAGATGAAAGCCATCTGTTTGATCAATCATTGGAGTGTAATCATCTTCAATACTTTGTTTAACTGAGACATAAAGTCTAGCATGACAAAGTTCACAATCACATGTGACATCGTTAACTGAGTGTAATTCTTGTTCTTGTTGAACTCTTGGGTCTAATTCCACATTAGGCATGGTATCTTGGATCCATCAAACCAGATGCATACAACTCTGTCAGTGATTTTAAAATACTTCACCCAACTGAAAAAAATCGATAACCCTTTCTTTTTAAATATCGATCGAAATGGTTGATGATATAAATGTACCACAAATAAGCTAACAACTAGCAAAATATCTACAGGAAATTATGAAAAAAGACATTAGCTAGTCTACATGTCAGGTTTTTCCTTCTATTTTAGATGAAGATTTTAATAACAAGTCCCAATAACTATTAGACTGCCAAAGATATTTACATCGAAAAGATAAGCGGACAGAACACTGAGTTCATTTGTTAGTAATCAGAAACCTAAAGCCTTTTGAAGCTGTTTGTTCTCAAGATAATTTATCTACCACAAAGGTTATGCAAAAACTTTCATGACCAGTATTTACTTATTTAGTCATTCTTCTTAAAAGCGAAACAATTTAATGAGTGTCCAAAAATAGGTGGTGGACTTAAAGGATTTTTACTAGGTAAACTACTAGTGTCACTTATAGGTAGTTATATAATGTGATAAAAGTTTAAAAATAAGTAGTAAAGTGTGTACTACAAGAATAATTGAAGAAATTTATGAAATGAATTTGTTACCTGAAAGTACCACGAATTTAGATAAGGTTACTACTTATGTAAAGGTGACTGGTATGATAAATTTTTCTTATGAAATAATTAGTGGATGGTGACTAGCAGTGGAATCCAGGATGCGCGTTTCGTCCTATTTGGGGGTCGTCAGCTGGATGTACCTGCATTTCTCAGTGAGTGATGATGTTCCCACCGAGGCTCAAACCCAGTGCCCTTAGTTTCAAACGCCAAAGCGTTATCCACTAGACCACTTGGGCTAAGGGAGCCACCTATTGTGCAACGGGGCATATCAATTATTTAATTCGATTTCAGATTTTCGCGTCTACTGATTAGACCGACCTGGATTCCACTGCTAGTTGCCATCACCCAATTAACTTATAATTACATGCCCAGACATCATCGAAGGATTTGCACAAGAAGACGTTTATATTAAGTGTATGGTATAGATGAAGTGGTAGAAGTAAACATCGTTTGTAACTATTAATTTCAACAAAATATCTGTTCGCTTTGTATACACTTTGTTGGCTGATATTTCGAGTGAGTGGATTTTAACAGCTTCACTTTAGCTTCGCAAAACATCTTGATCCAATTAACTTCACAAGGCAAAGTTATTTGTTATAAATGAGTTAATGATCGGTTACATCAGTAGAAACGTAGACATTCGTAATGAACAATTAAAATCACAATAGAAACATAATCTTTTTATGCCAAAATTATGTTTAACTTTCAAACCTTAGGCGTTGAAAAGAAGTCACGGAATTAATTGAGTTGGATATTCAAATGTACGAAGGTTAGTGATATACTTTAATAATTCTATAGTTTCTCATTTAGTGGAATATTTAACAGAAGTTCATGTAAATGAAAGGACTTAAAAAAAGTTAATTCCCGGAAGTAAATAAAGTGATGATAATATGTAAAATGACTTTTGTGTATTAGTGGAGAGACGTTTCTTGTCTACAAACACTCATCAAGAAGACATATCTACAACCAAGAAGGAACTAATGCTCCCACAGACATTCTAATCCACTCCAGTCAGTGCTGCATTTAGAGACAATACCAGTGGGCTTTTCGGGCTGATAATTACGATAGTGTATTGGATATATTGTTTGGTCACCATGATGTTTTTTTAATTTTTTTTATTACTACACGTTCCAGTGGAACATAGGGCTTCAAGCTAGTGGCTTGAAGTTTCTGTAGCAGTGTTTATTTTTACAGGATGCGGTTGCTAGCCTCATGCCCAACCTTTTCTCTTTACCAGCTTTGTTTCTGGCTTAGCGAGGTAAAGGAGTGCGTCGGCCGGGTATCGAACCCCGGACCATGTGCATGGTCGGTGAGCGTCCTAACTGCTGTGCCTCCTTAGTGTTTGTGCTAACTGAATTCTATCAGTCAAGTTTGTAACGTCTTCATAAATCTACATAAATCGTCAACTCAGTGCACTTTGCTATGGTACTATGACCAAACTAAAACTTGACAGCTATATTCATAACCAACGCGAAAGCGATTTGTGTACATTAAAAATGCCCACAGGTGATCAAGGATATTGTCTAGAAGTATAAATGAAAGCTGCGCAATAAAATACTCCAGCTCATAGATTATATGATAACAAAAATAACTTTTTCTTAATACTCAACCAAATAGGATTTTTTATGTGTACCAAACTTCAGATACATTTCTAAGAATCACTTCATATTTTAATAAAGTGAGAGCCTTTTAATGTTCATCCAATAGGAGTTGTTGTGGTTTGGTTAATATACTATAATTCTTCCAGTGCATTGTATTTGCTAGTTCCATTTTTGAGAAATAGACCTCTAATGGTTTGATATCATGGGTTACCCAACGTTTTTATTCTGTTTCCCATAAATTGAATATGATGTTTCCTCTGTGTAATGTTTAAATCTGTAATTCTCTAACATAAAGCAGTACACCGTATACAAAGGTAAATCATCCTCTGCTGCGCTCACTGAAGCTGGTATCCCCCAAGGTGCTGTACTCTCCCCACTTCTCTTTTCTTTCTTTCTACATGACTTACCATCTTCAAATGACATCAATTTTGTCAAATATGCTTACGACCTGACAGTATCTTTGCCTGTCAAATGTCAAAGTGACTGCTCTAAACTTAATGGATTTCTGCCATAAATCAGCCATTGGTCCAAGGAAAAGGGTCTTACCTTAAACCCCTTCAAATGCCAAACGGTCAATTTCACCTTTAGGCATAAATCCGACCTAAACAAACTAGTTAGCTCTCACGAGGTGTGCAACATAGATGGCACTGAAATAGAAACCAAGTCGGAAATCAAATATCTAGGCGTCATTCTATCTGTTGATCTTTCCTGGTCGTCTCATATCTTAAAGATTTCCAAGAAAATATTCCGTCTTACCTTCTACATCAAGAAGTTAAGACATTCTGGTATAACCCAACCCTTACTCCTACAATTTGTTAACTCTAGCATTCTGCCTATTATTCTCTATTGTTCCCCCTTAGTTTTTCCCGGGCTACGCAGGATGTTAAAGGTTGTCAGTAGGGTAAGCAACGTGCCACTTAACCAGCTTGTTAATATTCTGGTTGACAGGCACATGGACTCATGTGAAAAATGGGCCAAATCCATTTTATCTAACTCACACCACCCTCTTCACTCACAACTCTCCCCCTGCATCTCATCAGGTAAAACCAGAAGCCAATATAGAAAACTATATGCTCACACCAGCAAGTACAAAAACTCAACCATACCCTACTTAGCTCGTGTTCTGTGTGATAAAGAAAGCATCAGGCGCGACACCTACAATTTTCCAAGGACAAAATTTACCAGTATCTGATTGGTCTAAAGATTTCTTTGTTAATTATAATTACGATTGTACAGCTCATGAAAATGAATCGTCGAAAAGAAAATTTTCTTCGCTGTTTGTGCCTTTTCTTATGACACCTATAATTCATTAAATAGTCAATAGAACAACTGGACCTCGTCTTTCCAACTCATATCATTTATAGGTACAACATTTTCTTTCTTTCTTTTCCTTTTCTCTCTCTCCCCTTTCTTCCGTTATGTGCTGCTTTGTTTCTTTCTCTCGCTTATGCCAGTAAATATGATAGCATCTACTTTTCTAACACCTTCAAACACTGTTCAACTTTGGCTTTGCCCTCGACATGCCAATATGTTGTTGTCATAATGAACTGAGATTCCCTTAATCTATGTAGAATTCTATTTATTGATAATGTACTAACTGGATGCAATACTGTAGTAAAAATGTTGAGAATTCCATTCTGTATCACAAGTACTGTATTGGAATAAAGCAAATTATTATTATTATATGCATCTCAGTTAAAATATTAAGGAAGTAACTGAGAGGTTGACTGTCTGGTGTAAAAAAATCATAGTTATTACAATTCTACCAGTGGTATTGTTTTCTTATGTACTACAGCTATTTTACAATCCTCAGCAGCACTGAGGATTTCAGTAATGTTATTTACTAAGTAGATTGCAAAGAACATAAAAATGGCATGAATATTGGAAATTAATACAAGCATCCAAAGTAATTATCTATTGAAAACCCTGAAACATGAACAAGTCTATATCGATTAACAAGTAGTGGAAGTTAGATAATAAGTAATTTCCAAATGTGACAATTAGAAGTATCACAATAATGGCCACCAGAGAAGTTTATTGTGTAGGAAAAATTTCAGGTATTTCGCCTTGATTTAGTAACGGACTGACGACAACAAAGTACCTGGTCCTTGTTGTAAGCTTTTCTTTTTACAGTTAATTTTTTAATGGTGATTTCACCTCATACATCAATTCCCTTGCATAAATTTGAACGGAGAGAGATAAAACGCTGATGCAGAATAGCATGGATCCATTGTATTTTGTCGGTTCTCTTCAGCTGTAACATTTAATAAAACAAGTTATAATGCATTTTTAACATCTTTTTACTAACAGGAATCAGTGTTCTAGTAAGGATTGTTGTAAGAATATCATTATGAAACAAAACACAAGAATCGTCAACTATCTTGAAATATTAAATATATATATATATAATAAAAATAAAAAAATAAACGATTTTGATTAGTCGGTGATGAACTACGCTGAGTAGCATTCATAAAATCGAAAAATCAAAATCCAGTTTGCAGGAAAACTAATGATAACGTGATGATTTAATACACTGAACAGAACTCAAAGGATCATAAATCAAGCCTGATATGGAAGTCAAAAGAAAATAAAGTTACTAAAGTGGTAGTTACCTGGGTAAATGAAGTCTTACAACAGATTCCTTTTAATAATAATAATTATAATAATAGCTCCATTCCAAACAGTACTTTTGATACAAATATGAAATTTCAGGTTGTGCATAATATGGGTCACATTTCAGCCGATTTATATTTATATTTTTTATATTTTGATTACAG